AAATATTTTAAAAATTTATAAATATTTTATTTAATTAATTAGATGTAACCATCTTTACGATGGATGTTAATACCGTCCTTTCCAAACTCTACATCTGATTTTGTTGACATTTTTTTATTCTATGATTTTTTTTCCAATGTTTTTTCCTTAAAATAAACATTGGTAGCATCTTCCTATTATTTTTTTAATTTTTTGTTTTTCTATGGTGACCGGTTGTTAAATAATATTTATTAAAATGATATTATTTATATAATATATAATAATATAATAGTATTAAACACAAATTTTATAAATTCAACCGTTTGATTGAGAGTTTTTTACTCTTAGATCATATATACAAAATTTTATATTAATCCAAGATGATTTGATACTTCATTCTTATAAAATAAAATTGATGTAATATATACATTTTAAAATATAATAAAATATGAACACTTTGATTACGTTCAAGTTGTTAATTATAACAAAATTTAATATAAACATATAAAGTGATATGAATTTACAATTCAATGGTTAGATTTACAAAATTCACATTTAATATAAAATTATTAAACGGTGTAATACTTAGTAAAAGTTATACCGATGTCATTTGAACCTTCTATAAAGTAATTATTAAATAATATAAATTAATTTTTTTAGTTGTATTATTATAAACTAAAATAAGATAAAATTATATAAATTATATAATAATACATTTTCATAACAAAAATAGTTATTCCTTAATAACAATAAACTAATATTATAATAAATATATAAGATATCATAAATATTCTTAAAATAATAATAAAATAACGATTAATATTTACAAGTAAATACTTTTACAAATTACAATTTTCAACCACATATAAACACTACAACAAAATAAATTTTTAGTGGTATTTAATATGGTTTTTAGTGATAATAAAAATTACTGCAAATTTTTTTACGAACATTTCCACATTAGTCATTATATGCAATGCTAAAATATTTACCGACAATTATTCTACATGTTGGTAAAGACCTTTACAATGGTTGAAAAAAATGTATAAGTTTTTGTGACATTTTTTTACTGACATTTAATATCTTTTGCTATTATCATTAAAATTTAAGAAATTATTCATAATAGTTTTTAATTACTTTATCTCTCGTTGTTGTGAGACTTTTAAGATGAATATGTTTCCTCTACTTATATATTATTTAATTTCTTTACCTTTTTAATTATCTTATTTCCTAATTAATTATTTTATCTATAGTCAATGTGAGACTTGTGTTTTTTTCTTATTTTTTTTAATTGTCTTATCTCTTAAGAGATGTGAGACTTGTTAGGTGAGAGTTGCTCTCCACTTACATAATTTTTAATTATTTTATCTATAGTTGATATGAGACTTAAATTTTTTTTAATAAATAATTGTCGCTAATAGTAAATTTTGGTGTGATGTAAATACATTTTTAATGATTATGTATATTAGTCATTAATATTTTTTTTAGATAATAAAATAGTCACAATTAATTTATTATCGTTAAATAATCATCGATAGTAATAAATTTTGTTATAATAAAAATAAATAAAAGTAATTATTAATGAACATAAACATTATTAATGAATATAAACATAATTAATAAATTATAAGGAATAAAAAAATTAATAGTGTACCAATTCAGTAATTTCAAGAAAAATAAAACTTGTACTACAATGATAATATATTAATAATAGTAAAATAAAATACCAATAGTTGATTAATATACTATAAGTTAAAAGATTAAAAAAAATTACTAAAATGATAATATATTAATAATATGAAATAGTAGAAAATATTATTATTAAATAAATATTACCAAAAAATTAATATATAAAAAATTTCAGGGTTAGTTCTTGCAATGACTATTTTCTAGGTTTTCTAGGTTTTGGATTCCGCTGCCTTCCTCTACCACGCCTACCGCGTCGTCGCTGACTACATCATAAAGTACCTCGTTGCTGTCCTTGACGCCTCCTCCGCCAAGTACTCTGTCACCTTTGACTGCATCTGGCGCGACCGCGTGGGCACTGGAGGCGCGCCACAGCGGGATCACCTCCTTTGGCGAGTTGGCGCAACGACGTGGAGGTTGTGGTTTGGGAACCTAGGGTTCGCGAGAGGCTCGTAGGGCTGAATATTCGGAAGGATGATTTTACATCGAACATGATGGATCCGACATAAATTTACGTCTCCTACATTGACGTTGGACTTATTTACGATGTAAAAACCCCAAAATAACCGACGTAAAATACCTCTTTTACACTAGTGACAATAAAAGAGAAATAACACTGGTGTAACTTAATTTTATATATATGATCTAAGAGTAAAGAATTTTCGATCTAACGGTTGAAATTATAAAATTTACATTTAATATAAAGTTATTAAACGATATGATACTTAGTATCCGATAGCACCGTCAGTGCGGTCTTAGTGCAAGAAAGAGGTAACTCCCAACTGCCTATTTATTTTGTTAGCAGAGTGTTGCAAGGAGCGGAGGTTCGTTATCAAAAGATCGAGAAGTTGGCACTTACCATAGTGATAACCGCACGGAAGCTCAGAAACTATTTTCAGAGCTACGAAATGGTAATCCGAACAGATCACCCTATCAGACAGGTGTTGCAAAAGCCCGACCTTGCTGGCAGAATGATGAAGTGGTCGATCGAGTTGTCTGAGTTTGCAATCAGGTACGAACCAAGAGGAGCCATTAAAGCTCAAGTGTTGGCCGATTTCTTGGTAGAACTGACCCCACCGGCTGAGACTCTTTCGGAGAAAGTGAGTGGATCTTATCAGTCGACGGAGCTTCGAACTTAGGTGGTAGTGGAGCAGGGATCGTCCTTGAGGGCCCAGGAGGTATACTTTTGGAACAGTCGCTGCGATTTGAGTTTCGGGCTAGCAACAATCAGGCAGAGTACGAAGCGCTATTGGCAGGGATAGCCTTGGCAAAAGAAATGGGTACAACAAGCCTGTCGGCCAGGAGCGATTCACAACTTGTGACGGGGCAGGTAGCGGGAACTTTCCGTAATGGTACGCAAGAGCAATGGGAACTGGAGGATGTGCACGGACTTCACCAATTTAAACAAAGCTTGTCCAAAAGATTCATACCCGCTGCCCAACATAGATTGTCTAGTCGACAACGCATCGAGGTATGAATTATTGAGCTTCATGGATGCGTACTCGGGGTACAATCAGATCATGATGCACCCTGCCGATGAAGATAAAACAGCGTTCATAGCTGACCAAGCCACCTACTGTTACAAGGTGATGCCTTTCGGTTTGAAGAACGCGGGGGCGACGTACCAGAGACTTATGGACAAGGTGCTGGCCGATCAGCTAGGAAGAAATGTGGAGGCATACGTGGACGACATGGTTGTCAAGTCGCCTAGCGTGTCTCGGCATTTTTCTGACTTGCAAGAGTCGTTCGACACCCTAGCACGCTACCAGCTCAAGTTGAACCCCGCAAAGTGCTCTTTCGGCGTCCAAGCAGGAAAGTTCCTCAGGTTCCTATTGACTCATCGCGGTATTGAGGCAAATCCCGATAAGTGCTCCGCGATAATCAATATGAGAAGTCCCGCGATGATAAAAGAAGCCCAGCAGTTGACAGGGAGGATGGCCTCCCTCTCTCGGTTCCTCTCAAAGGCAGCTGACAAGTCGTTGCCCTTGTTCCAATGCTTGAGGAAGAACGATCGGTTCGCATGGACAGAGGAATGTGAAAAAGCATTTGGCGAACTCAAGCAGGCTCTCACCTCACCGCCAATCCTCACCAAACCACAAACCGATCTCCCTTTGCTGGTATATTTGTCGGCGTCCGAGAGCGCCGTCAGTACGGTCTTAGTGCAAGAAAGAGGTAACTCCCAACTGCCTATTTATTTTGTTAGCAGAGTGTTGCAAGGAGCGGAGGTTCATTACCAAAAGATCGAGAAGTTGGCACTTACCATAGTGATAATCGCATGGAAGCTCATATATATATATACCCAATAATAAGCATTATAAAATAATAATATTATAAAATAATAATTGTAACTAATAATTTTAAAGTACTTAGGAAGTCAAATATAACTGAAATTAGGTATAAAAATAAGAATATACGTTCAACTGTGGTGTTTAAATAATAATATATAATAATTACAGGTAATTTATTTAGGGTAGATATTAAAAAGATATGAAACTGAAGCTTAAAATAAAGTTGCAGAATGACAACGAAGAACGTGACATGAGTGAGAAAAGGCATAAAAAAATAATAAATCAGTGTAAGCGGTAAGAAGGAAGGTGAACTTTTCAATTGCAAATTATAATCATATGTAAAATGCATGCTAAGTTTATTAGATTTAATAATTGTTTTTTATTTATGAATCTTATAAGTAATTTATTAACAAATTTATTTTATATTAAATATGTTTACTATATCACATTATATTTAAGCAATTCAAATTACATTTTTATAAATTTTATTTTAATAATGATATCTTATAAACAACTCATGTTTTTATACATTTTTTATTTACATTTTATTTTTGACAATTTAAAAACAAATATAATTATTATAATTCAATATTAATTTAATTAAGCTCAATAAATTATATTTTTTAATTTATGTGAGTGATTTGTGATTCAAACAATGTTATTTACTGAAAAGTTATTATTTATTTTTAAGTAATTTTCTATGTCATCTTATCATATTCTAATGAAAGTTACTAATAAGTATAATTACTTATTAGTAAAATATATCACAAACACTCCACATTTTAGATGTTTATTAGTAAAATATACCAAAAACACTTTCCATCACAAACACTTTCCATTTCAAATACCGTAAAAGAAACAAAATAATAAACTTATTTTATAATAACAATGAATGCAATAAATAATACAATTTAACTTTTTGACTTTGTAAAATGATGTCAAACTATAGAGACACTTGCAACTTGTAATCGAAAAATATGTTGAATGGTATCTCCTTTTTACTTATATAAATATGTAATTGAGGATCATATTCTACAACAAGTTAAGATGGAGACTACAAGGAAATCATTTGTCTCACTGGCATTCTTATTGTCTTTCTTCATCATTGCATCAGGTTACAAGTCTTGCATTATTTTCATCTTCTTATTATTTGAGTTATTTTGGAGTGAATATTAATATCATATGGACCAAGTTATTTTCATAAACTGTTTTTATTCTAATGTATTATTATTTGTGTATGTATATGTGCTTGAAATTAGAAGCAAGAGGACCCATTGTACATCTTCATTGTACTTCAAACGAAGAATGTTCATTACGTCCTTGTGCTGCTTCATGTGGTTGCCAATGTATCGATACCTATTGTCAATGCACAAGACTACCACCTTCTTTTAACTATAATAATCTTCACATTCATGCACCCCGAAATTGAGCAACGAGGTTTTGAGATGCATGCAATCACCAAATGTAGGATTGCATCTTCTTGAAAGATGTTTAATAAAATGCATGCTTTTATCAGTTTTCTTAATATCTTTTATTCATACTCTTTCATTTTATTTAGTTTAATGATGCTATCACAAAAGAAGTAGACTGTCATGAAATAAAAATGGATCTGCTTAATTTTTCTCAAATTACACATTAATTAAATAATATTCGAGAACACTATATTAACTCTTTTTTTTTTTTTTCATATAAGAATACTATATATGACTTAATAAAAGTACCATATAGACAGAATATTGTGATATAGTTAATTAAAAATTATATTCTTGAAAAGAAGAGCTCGCACTTATAATGTATTTTACATGAAATTTGCTTGCTGAATTAAGATTAAATGTCACCGTGTAAGTGAGCACGTCCCACATAGGTGCAAGTTTTTTTTTTTTTTAGTTTTAATTACCCTTTTAATTTCTGTAGTTTCAAGAACTTAACTTTTAAATTTTTATACATAACATTTTTTTTAATGAAATTATCGGGAACCAAAAGGGATTAATCCTTCTTTTTTATATATAAAAAAGAATAAATAATAAAATTTATGCAACGCAGAAGTTGTTCGTCTATTTGATAAAATTTGTGTTAATGTGTCAATAAAGATTCCATATTAATAATATATTTTTAAAGGAATTATTTTGGTAAAAGAGAAATAACCTTATTCGGTCAATTTGAAAGAGTTGGTTTTTTTACTGAAACAATTTAAAAGAGTTAGCAAGTCAGTTATAATTTGACTCGGATATAAAAAGAAAATGTGAATATGTATTCAATTACAATATTAAAAAATTATATAATTGAAGTTATTTGATTTTATCTATTCAAAATGAGTCAACAAATTATTTGTGTCAAAATGATTTTATCACACATAAAGGACATTCTTTTTACTGATAAAATCCCATGCTAAAAAAAGATTTGTTTTTATTAGTGTGGATGCTTCTGGTCAAAGTATATTTTATTTTTACACAAATTACTTTCTTTGGTTAATAATAGTTGTAGTTTTACCAATAATTAAAAGTTCCTTAATTTTTTTTATTTTTTATTTTAAAGAAAATGAGGTAATTAAGTGTTATACTATTTGTATATATTTAATTGATATCTTTCTAATAACCTATGCATTTTGTTATCATTTCGAATTGTTCAATTGCTAACAAATAGACTCATGTCCCAAAAATGTGAGTTCAATTTTCGCTAATGTTAGAACTTTGTTGGTGACTAATATATAAGTACCTCTACAAGCATTTATAAAGTCTTAATGATTGTATTGAAAATGGTAAGTCCATTAACCCAATTCACCTACTTTTCTTTTAAGAAAAAGATTGAAGCTTAAAATGAGGTAAAATTATAAATTAAAAAAAAAAAAGTCAAATATATTACATGACATAGGGAAAGAGTAG